TTTTCATAAAAGAGACCCTGGCGAGCTCCCTCGCCCGTCCCCCAGGTAGGGCGCCATGTGAAGACAGCCACCTCTGCATCAGGAAGTGGGTTCGCACCAGAATACCAATCTGCTGGTGCTTGATCTTGGACTTCATAGCTTCCAGAACTGAGAAATAAATGTCTATTCTTTATAAGCTCCCCAGTCTATGGTATTCTGTTATAACAGCCCAAATGGACTCAGACGAGAGGATTATGATCCATTTTCTTATCTGATACTAGTCTGCATTTATTCTGAGATTCTCATTCCTCACTCTCATCTAGAAATTAATGAAGAACTGTGTAAAGTTAGAGTCACACAGAAATCAAGGAGGAGACTAAATCTAGATAGAAAATGGGGTATGTTACAAGATTATAAAGGTAACACGTGACCGAGACTCAGGTGGTCGGGAGTGAGCCCCTCAGTAGAGGTTCCCGGGTAGATGATAACGCTGCGGCTAAGCAGCCACAAGGAAGCCAATGTGGCTGAACCAAGTTGGGGAAGCAGGTCAGGCAGGTAACAGAGAATGAATCTGTAGGGTCGTGAGGTCACTGCAAGGACTGTGGCTTGTGCTCTGTGTTAAATGGAGAGTCACTGCCAAGTCTGATAAGAATGACATGATTGGATTTCCAGTTCAAAAGGATTACTTCAGCACCTTTGTTGAGAATGAACTGAAGGGAACAGAGGAGCAAGGGAATAAGCAAAGAAAGCATATTATTTTCTGCTGTAACCCAGGTGGTTCTGTCCAGAGTGGTTGATAAGGAAGGTAGTCACCCTTTATCCACAGGAGATACATTCCAAGACCCCCAGTGAATGTCTGACACTGGATAGCATCAAACTCTTCATATGCTGTTTTTCTTACATGTAAAGTTTAACTTGTACATTAGGCTAAGTAAGAAATTAACAATAACTAATAATAAAATACGACAATTTTAACAATATACCATGATAAAAGTTGTGGTCTTTCTTTAAGAACTGATCAGCTCACCCAGATGGCTGCCGAGGGAGTGAGGCGGGAAGCAAGCACAGCATGGATGTGCTGGGAAAGAGATGATTCAGTCCCGGGGGACGGGACGGCTCGAGATGCCATCACTCTCCTCAGAACAGTGCACAATTGAAAACGTATGAAATGTTTATATTTCTGGAATTTCTCATTTAATATTTTTGGCTTAGGTTGGCGATACGTAACTGAAACCATAGTTAAAGGTAAGGGGAGGGACTACTGTGATTGGCTTCTGGATAGATTCTGAAGGTGGAGAAAATAGAATATCCTAATGGATTGTGTATGAAATGTGAGAGACTTATATTAGAAACATCTCAACCAGGAAAAGTAAAGAAGAGACAAAAGACAAATAGATGGGGTGGTAAGATACTTAGGGAGAGATCTGGGGAAAAATATCGATTAGTTCTTGTTCTTCACCCCAGCTAGTAATAATAAAAACCACGACCCCTCAATACATTAAAGAATACACTCCAACAAGAAAAAGAATTCTCCATTCAGAGGTGCTTCTGAAGCCAGACAAGTTGTTCCAGAATTGATAAAGGGTAGAGCGAATCCCCTAGATTTTCTTTCCCGAACGTAAAGAAGAGGAGGCGGCAAAACCTGGAGTGATAAAACACAGTGCAAACCTCGAAGATTAATATCATCCAAAGCTACTGGCTGAAGATATTTTGTATCATGATATTTTTTTTTACAATAGCATCTATGTTTCACAGGTCAAAATAAAGACCTGCTCTGTCTTGCACCGTAGTTAATGTCCTCTGCGTCTGGGATTGCTAGCGCCTCTCTCTTTGTGAACTGTCACTTCTCCGCTGATGGCAGCTTTGTCCTGGCAGCAGTGATTACTAAGCAGATCTGCCATGGAGCACAGACGTGAACAAGGGGGGCACAGGAGAGCGAAAACAGAATGAAGTGGGAGTGCTGATATGAAATCTGATAGAGGAAATATATGTTACGCTCTTTAATTATAATAAACACCTATATTTAAAAGTGATAGTTTTTTCCTCTTTTTTAGAAAAAAATAATGTAGACTTCTGTAGGCTAATTTAATTTCCCTTCCTTTTTTCTTTCTGTTCCAGTAATCTAATTGCATATTGTTATACTGTGCCAACAGCTCTCCCGGGGGAAGGAAAAAAAAAAAAAACCCTGCAGAAACCGGCACCCATCTGCTCTTTGATGACCAGCATCATTTCAGTGATGTTTATAACTCTTTTTACAGTAATGAAGTATCTGCTCAGGGATGAATAATTCAAAATACAGTAAAACAAAACCATGCAAGGTAAAAAATCAGCTAAGAAATAAGTTTGGACATAATGCGATAACCATCAGAATGAAGAAAAGCAACATGTTTTATGCGCAGAGCACTGAGGTGTATATTTAAAGATCTAGTGTCTAGTCAAGAATGGCAGTGGACATATTTTTTCTTCTGAAAAATCTGATTATATGGCGGTTAAATCATTTGTCGGGTGTCTTATTAATCAAAAATTGCCTTCCAGTAGTCACCTGCTAGCCTGCTAGTTCAACAACTGGCTGAAGTTCTGCTGGATCTGCTACATCATCCATCAGGAAAGAGGGTTTAATCCATGTCATTCCAAGCATCCCTTCTCGCCCCATCCTCCCAAACCTCCACAACTTTCCATCTTTAAGCCTCTGTATTTCAAAGACAGAAAGAAGGATGCTTACCACAGTATATTCACCAAATGCATCAACTGGCACAATTTCCTAAGTATATACTTTTACTCTCAGCTACTAAATGTACTTCATATATACCAGGACTACAAATACCTCTTACATAGAGAGGATTTCTGTGGAGTTTCTTTCCAATAATAAATCTGCGAAATTCTGGGGAACAGAAACAACGATTCTACAGATAACCCTTGAATATAAACACTGAAAACAACAGGGACCAGTTTTGATAGAAAGGAAAGGAAATCTCACATAGAAAGGACTTCTGAAATACTAGCAGGTTCTCTCTCTTGACCTGAGTGATGGCTCCACAGGAGTTTACAGCTATTCTTCAGCTCTAGACATGCACCCATATGTATGATAAACAGTTGGTCCTCTATATCCACAGGTTTCACATTCATTCAACTGTTGATCAAAAATATCAGGGAAAAAATCCCAGGAACTTCCAGAAAACAAAAATTGATTTTGCCACATGCCACACACAACCCACACAAATGAAATTATGTTAGGCATACCCTGCTACATAGCCTGTAGGTAAATATAGGTTAAGTGCAAATACTACTCCATTTGATATAAGAACTTGAGCACTGCAAATTTTGTATCCGCAGGGGTCAATCCCCTACAGATGCTGAGACATGACTGTATATCACTTTTAAAAAGTGACAACATTTTCTTTAAAGATCTTTTAGGAATTCAAAGACTTAGGTGTACTTCTACTGAGATTCAAGGAGTTGGATCTGGTATTACAAGGTATATTCCAGACCTGATTCTATATTTGTTACATGTTACTCAATCCATCACTGTCAACTTTTCATATTCAAAAATATTTCAAGGTGAAAAACCAGAAACTCTCCCATCTTCATCAAGACTTTACAGCAAGAATTAAGAACATTCATAATACATGTGTTATTACTAATGAATATGACTATGATACAGAAGCTGCAGACTGGCCCTCTCCACACTATTTTCTTCTTATTTTTATTTACTGATGATGAACAGAAACTCATTTTGAAAGAACTATCCCCTTTCAACTCACAATAAATTAAAAACAAAACAAAAGCAGCCATTTACCTTTAGAGTACAATTACGATAATGCTACACTTCTCTTTTAAATAATAAGACTTATCATTCAAGTAAAACCTTAGAAGCTTAAATAAATTTCTCTGCCATGCATGAAGAAAACAAAAGTTAAGAAAATATCAAATCATATCCATATCTTTTCTTCCCTTCTTTCCATTATATTCAGCTGAATTTACCTTTTTACTGTTTAGACATTAGCATTTTAGAAGGAACAATATATAAAAGGTGTAAATGTTGCTCTTTTCACACAAAAAAATAAACTTAAGTGTCTGTGTTGTTTACAGTCTTTCCCTTTGTTGAGAGTGATTCATACCCAAAGAACATAATGGTCATTCTTTAAGACTCGTATGATTAAAAAGAGTAAAATAATAGACTTTAAAAGACTTTACCAGAAATAGTGAAAAATGCCATGATATTTAGAGGCAATCACTGTTAAGCTGTATACTGATGATACTTATTCCCTTTATTTAAAAGCAAATGAAAAAAAAAATGGCAAACCGTTTTAAAACTACAAAAATGAACTCACTATCATCAATTTCTTTCTGTCTTAGGGCAAACAAATAAAAGCATGTGTAACTAAATATTCAAAATATAATTTTGTTTTTAAATGTTGCCCTAAAAATGTTTAAATTTCTTTTCCATGAAAAATTATAAATACCTCTACGGATTCCTATAAATGCATGACGACATCATGATAAAGTACGTCTTCAGGCCATGGCATTTCTCAGTGTCACATTATAATTTAAGGTAAGCCACATAATGTATTGCATTATAATGAATCATCTAGATCTTCAAATGACTTATCTAATTTCATCTTGCAGTCTAAAAGCACATATATAATCATGTAGTTTCTCTACATGTCTTTTCTGTTTCTTCTGATTAATTCTAAATGTGGTTCAGCAACCTGTTCCCTTTGGTTGAGAAAAGTACATAAATACTAAAAAACAAGAATCATTATTAAGGTAACTTTTACATTTTATTTAATTGACAAGAATGCACTAAGTTACTTAAATTAACCTGTTCTATTACAGTTTATGCTTTCATTTAAACACTTAGGTATCAGAAAGGACAGGAGTATGTGTGGGTTGAAGTTAGCGCTGTAAGATTAAACAATTTATTCACTTGGTTTAAAATACGACACAGTTATTGACACGTATCTGCTTCAGACACTGTGTTGGCCTGTAGAGAAACAAAGATGAGTAGAAATGATGCTTACCTGGCTTTTATTGGAGCAGATGGGGTGGCGTGTTGGAAAGGGATGAAAAACAAATACTGCGAGGCAATACTGCAAGGCCTATAACAGAAACAAGTACAACATGTGTGGTACAAAGAGGATGAAGCACGGGGCAGTGAAAGGCTCAACAGATTCTACTAAAATACATAATAATTAGTGAATTCTTACAAGGAAGTAAAGTGCAGGCACAGTCGGGAATGCCAGTCCATCCGCTGTCTGGCATATCCCTGGAGACGAAGAGTACAGTATGGCATTGGCTTCAACTCTGGGCAGACAGAAGGCTGTGAATGCACCAGGCCAGTAGGCCACTGCGGGCTACAGTGAAGGGAAAATGACACAAGGAGGAAGAAATGTCTGGCTCTCTCTCTCACTCAGGTTTCAGCTTCCCTGCAAGATGAGTGGCCTTCCTCATTCCCCCACACAATACTGCACCGGTCTGTCACTATTCTATGTCTTGGCCTACTCATAGTGACTATTTTCATTTGTTTTAAGTTTTTTTATAATTCACCTTCCTCACAAGATGGGAAGTTTCAAGAGAGCAAGGAGCTGCATTTCTAGCTCCTAGAACAACACCTGGCGTATAGTAGGCACTTGATACTGTTGTTCAATGGGGGAACTAAATGCACAAGAAAAAAGAGAAAAGGAAGATGTAAAGAGTAGTCCATATTTTAAAAAGACAGGAATAGTGAACTATAAAGCACTGTCTCAGAGCAGAGGTCAGCCAGGGGACCAATCCCGCAGCTGCCCAAGAAACCATCTCGAAAGGACTATGCTTACCACATATTCTACATATTGCAAAAGCTTGTCAGCTGGAAAGGCAGAACACCAACTGCACTGTATACGTACTGCTACCTCAAAAGTGAAAAAAGATGTATCCTCACCCAAGGACATTTTTTCTTTTTTGTTTCTTTTTTGTTCAGATAGAGTGGGAGGGAGAGAGAGAAACATCGACATGAAAGGGACACATCGAGTGGCTACCACCCGCACGACCCAACCAGGGCTGGGAACAAACTGCAACCAAGATATGTGCCCTTAGCAGGAACCGAACCTGGGTCTCTCTGGACCGGAGGTCAACACTCTAACTGCTGAGCCAAACCAGCCAGGGCAAAAAAAGATACATCTTTAATGGGGATATTATAATTGAGAGCTTATTCAGATAAGTAGAATTTTCAACATATAATATTAATCTGTTCAATAATCATGTTTGTAAGAAAGAAATGAAGTATTATTGTGAGCCATAAGTTCAAATTCCTATCCTGAGTACTTACATGTTTTTTAACAAACATCACTGCATTAATCTGCCTTTTTTGCATTTTACTGCTGTTACTATTCAAAAATTCAATCTCCTGGACAAATGGCAATTCAAGAACATTCAAATTCCAGTGATATATTATTCCCTTTGACTACAAAGGTATATTTGCCCATTCAGATTTTTTTCATTCAAATTTTGCAACAGCTGTTACATGATATATTTCTGAATACAAAACACACACTCTGCCTTCTCAACTACTATAGCATATAGCAATTTCTACAATCCCTCACCCTTTCTCTGAAACACTTAAAATATAGCTTAAATTTAAATTAAATCACACAGAAGTTATTTACACTATTTCCTTTGACATAACTTGAATAATGTAATTTAGTCAATGTATCTTGTAGGTTAAAAGTAAAATGCCATGAGCCTCATTATTTAAATTCCATATAGAAAACTACCTTTGCCTGAAATATTTGGACATATACAAGGCAACACTGTACCCAGTATTACTGCTCCACAAAAATTAAATATCTTTCGGTATTACAATTCCCCTACAGTAGGAGGGGTTCTTCCAGTTTTAATATATTTTTTTCTAGTTCATCTTTAGACATATGTATCCAACAGAGGGAAAAGATGAACTTATAAGGAGAAAATCATAAATGTTCTTACTTATAAACAATTACCTGTGAACAATTTACAGATTCATTTCCAATAACAATAACAGTCTTCAGCCTGACAGCCCAGCCACCACCAAGGACAGATACACTCTTGAATGAGCTGGCAGCTGAGTAAATACTTTTAAGTGATACCAGATCCCAACCTCCAGAATAGATGGCTATTGCTTAGTTTGCACACACTCAGTGAAGCCAATACATGCACTCCTGAAAAGATAAGAGACCAGTCGCATGACTTTGGTCACGTCCTATAAACCTGGAAACTACCAGCCATTAAACAGGCTATGAGAGCGTTAGATGTGGCAATACATACATACAAGAATGTCCTGAAAACCAGACAAAACCATATATATGCAAGCTTCATATCATTACCAGTAACGACTTTAAAAGCTGCAACATGTCATTGATTTACCTTTTATCCTTTCCATGTAAAATTTGAACCACAAGGGGGGAAAAGTGCAGAGACTGAAAATAAACCAACTGGCCCCTTTGCACTGGTCTCCATTTACAATACACACAGCACTAAGCTCGCTGTAAGCAGACAGACATACCCGGGTTATTGCAACTGCCTCCTAATTCGTCTCCCCGCCTTATCATCTGTTCTCAGTATGCAGCAATCATAATTAGCCTTTAAAAATAAAGCTGTTCTTATCACTCCTGTGCTTAATACCCCTCTGCAGCTTCTCACCCCTGTCAGAGTAAAAGCTAAAGTTCTTGTGCTGGCAAGAACTCTTGTGTAGGCTTGCCCTACAAAAGCAGCCTCTCTGCCCCCGCCACACCCCATGAGTGTCTCTTCCCTCCGGCCTCTCCCTTGCTCAAGGTCACCCAGGCACACTGGCCTCCTTGCTCTTCTTCACACAGGCACTGGCTCCAATCTGAATCTTTGCACCTGCTGTTTCTCTGCCTGGATTATTCCCACCCCATGTATCCATGTGGTTTCCTCTCTTGCTCACCTTCAAGTCTTCACTCAATTGTCACCTCCTTGATGAGGTCTAAAACTGCAGCTGTACCCATCCTCCTGGTGTCCCTTATCTCCCTTTCCTACTCCAAAATATTTGGTTTCATTACAGTATGACCTACTTTACTTACTACTTTGCTTAATTTCTTACTTTGAGCCCTACGAGAGTGGGAATTTTGCTATCGTTGCTCACTACTATACCCCCAATACCTAGCATAGTGCCTGGTACACACAGCAGCATATCAGTAAACTTGTTAAATTAATAGATAAGGGAATGTCACATCATATACATGTGTGAGCTACCTGTAAATTACAATACAGAGTGGGGCAAAAGTAAGTTTACGGTTGTGAGTACACAAAACAGTTTATTCTACTATTATTATTTATTATTATATTATTTTTTCACACGAACAACCGTAAACCTACTTTTGCGCCACCCAGTATCGTAACAAACTGTTGAATTCAGTTCAAGCTAAAAGAAGGGAGAAAGACTGCACAAATAATGAAGAACAAAAGTAAGGTTTTTCTCTTTAATTATACATGCCTTTAATTCTGCTCTATAGAAAATCAAGATTGCCACAAAAACAAACAGGAGATTCCAGTACCTCTTCATTTAGCTCCCATAAACACATAAAAAAACTTTGTATTTTGGCCAGTGTATTCTAATAGCTTCTTGAACAATCACAAATTGCTGAATGTAGGATCTTTTCTCAGAAAATGTGGGTTCCCAGGAACAGGGTGGGGAACCCACCATGCTTCACCTAGGCAATTTTGGGCTCCACTCATTTGGAATGTAAAGAAACCAAGTCTCTAGCTATTTTTCAAGTATTGATGGCAAATAAATCTAATACCTAGAAGAGAAGAGAATGAAGAGAAGAGAAGAGAAGAGAAGAGAAGAGAAGAGAAGAGAAGAGAAGAGAAGAGAAGAGAAGAGAAGAGAGAGAGAGAGATAAAGGAAAGAAAGAAAGAAAGAAAGAAAGAAAGAAAGAAAGAAAGAAAGAAAGAAAGAAAGAAGGAAGGAAGGAAGGAAGGAAGGAAGGAAGGAAGGAAGGAAGGAAGGAAGGAAGGAAGGAAGGGAGAGAGAGAAAGTGCGAATGAACTAATTTCTTCTAGGAAATAAAAATCTTTCAAACAAGATCTGGCAAAATTATCATTTTTCCACTATCTGTTTCAGAATTAAGCTTATTGAGACCTGGTGTCAAACACGCATTTACGCCATTTTATCTCAATGGTCACATTAGAACAGAGAAGTGCAGTTGTCATTCATACAGTGTTTGATCTCCACAGTGTGTTCCTTCCCTCCCCTAATATCCTGGGGCACTGATGACCTTTATGCAACAAGTTTGGTACTTGAACTGTTCCTTGACTATCCACAATGTTTCTACATAAGAGCTCCTTGAAGGTAGAAATCCTCAATTAATAAATACTCAATTTGATGATGATGATAAGTCCCTGTTTATAACATCATCAAAGAAAAACTAGCAAAAAGATTTATCAACAACCTGAAGCAGAACTGACATGATATAATCAGTCAGAGCCTCTACCTTTCTCCAAGGCAAATGACTAGAGGAATGCAGTCTGTGGATAAAGGGGGAGAGAGGAAGGAGAGGGACGAGTTCCTACAAAAAATGATAATACTGGAACAGAGTACCTCAAAATTCATTTAGCACATCTTGACATTTTAAAAAGTGTACCACATTAGCACAGCAGTAAATTTTTTCTAGTTAAAATGAATACTGCATGGGGAAAGAATGATCATTATTGTTAAATATTTACTTTGTGCCAAGAAGGTTACCCAGGGGAGTGCACAAACTACACCCACTGGGCTTAAAACTGTATGAAATATAGTTGTATTGTGCATAACATCATAATAGAAACAATTATTCTTAGCTATGGATAAATATTTCTATTCCACACACATAGATAAATGTATGTTTTGACAAATACCGATAAATAATTCAAGCTCATTCCCAAAGATTTAATCCATGTTGAAATGTGTCCTTTAAAAAGCTGATGACATACTTGGCAGAAGAGCTCAGTAATGAGAGTCAGACTTTGAAAATATGCGCATGAGCTACATTTCTCTTTCACACATCTTTTCTGCATTTTCGAACTTGAATAATGAGCATGGTATTTTTAACAAGGTAATTTACACTCTCTTTGTATATAATAC